TGATTCATTCATTCGTTTATAGATACATGTTATTGCATCTAGATTTAGCTTGAAATAACTGAATTTTAAATTCAAAATTATCCAAGCACTGAAAGCTTTATGCTATAGCTGTGATGACATCATTTATAAGCTGTAATGCCCCTCCAAGAAATCAGAGAGTGTTGCGTTTTTATCAAGCTAAGAAAAAATGGTGGTAACACCAGCATAAATATCACCTTAGATGTAAGATTATAGAGAAGTTCATTAACGTAGATTAGAAACAATATAATAAAAAACCAAGAATAGAACATCAAGGAAGGACAATCTTTATACTAAAACTGCTAAGGAATGATTCAATAATTTAATATAATTCTCCACGTCACACAAATCACATCTACATAAGAAGAGACTACAATGGAAGACTTTATCGAAGACTTTAAAGTGTTAAGAGCAATAGCCCTAAAGCATCTATCTAATGCACAATAAAACATATTGGTAATTACTGTTAAAAAATCATCACTAGAATGAGATGATCAAAATCCTTATTAATGATCTGAAAGTAAGCTACTAAGTTGTTAATGAGAAATTAAGTGTTTTATGTATAAGAGAAATTTAGATGTTCAAGCAAAAGTTAAGATTTGATTTAAAAAATTAGGTTATAATTATGGTTTTTGTGTTTTATTACTTTTTATTTATAGTTTATATTTACTTTTTATCAAGGTTTTAAAAATCGAAAATATATTTTTACCTAATTATAAAACAAAAAAATTACCTGTAAATGCTGAATTAACTCTAAAGACTCTAACTGTAATATCACAGGAAAAACATATTAGTGAACTTTTCCATTTTACATAGAAGTTATATTTTCTTAGGCTAAAACATCCATAAATCTAAGTTCAGCAGTGTCTGGAAAGAAAACCATTGAGTACAACAACTTAAGCTTTTCTTTTCACATTTAGACACCAATTGCCAGCGAAAGGTTTAAACAAACAGTTTTGTTTAAATACCAATAATAAACGTTTATTATTGATATTTAAACAAACTGTTTGTGTTTATTCTGTAAGTTAATTATGACTTATACTTTTAAACAAGTAAAATGCGCAATAACTTGTCAATAACTTCTCTTTACATTTCATCAAAGAGCAGGCAGTAACGGTTCAAAATTATTTTATAATATATGTACCTAAGTTGTGATAAACATTTTCAAAACATTCAAAACATTTAACAATTCCGTTGCAAAAAACTACCCAAAAGGAAACAGAATTTTGTGTTTCCTTACCCAAAAGGAAACAGAATTTTATGTTTGTTTTTGGCATTTCGGTTTTCCGGCGTTTTAGGTTTCGACTTTTTAGCAACTCTGGTAGGACAGTTTACTCCAACGTAGGACAGTTTGCTCCGGAGTAAATTGTCCTAACCGGACGGATAGGACCAACTAGGACATTCTACTCCGGAGTAAACTGTCCGGCCGGACAGTTTACTCTGCGGACTGTTTTCTCCGTGACAGTTCGTCTAATTCTGACGAACTTGTAATTGGAGTTCTTTCGTTACAAGATTTTATACTTTGGAATACGGTTGCTCTAACAGCATTTTTGTCTCTACGAAAGAAATCAATTAATGGATCGTTTGACACATTGGCTGCACGGTGAGTTATTAAGCTATCTTTTCTAAATATAAATCTTGTTATTTTAAAATCTTATACAATGTATAAGATTTGATAATAATGTATAATACATTTATAGGTAAATCTGCAGTCAAGCGGCGTAAAATAATTATATTATTTTGCTTTTTGCGCTCTCGTTCGCGGAGACTAAAAAACAAAAGAAATTCAAAACGAGTTTTAATTGCTTTGAAAGGTTTAAAATAAGAAAGCTTTGAAAAAAATTATATTTTTATTTTCAAATATATTTCTATATAATAATAATAATTATAATATATATATATATATATATATATATATATATATATATATATATATATATATATATATATATATATATATATATATATATATATATATATATTTATACCAAACTTTAACGCACTTAAACTTTAAAAATTTAAAAACTTTGAAAACGCAAACTAAACTCCTAGATAAAATTTAAAACTCGCTTTTAAAATTTAATAATTGATTTAAAATTTATTTTTTTATAATTATGATATCTTACGTAACGCAACTTTACATAATACGCTCACCACCGTTGATTTTTTTAAGTAAAAAATATATAATTATTTTACGCAGCTTAACTGCAGATTTACCCATTTATAATTTATATAAAAATTTTAAAATATCTAATATATATATATATATATATATATATATATATATATATATATATATATATATATATATATATATATATATGTGTGTGTGTGTGTGTGTGTGTGTGTGTGTGTGTGTGTGTGTGTGTGTGTGCATAGTTTATGTACTCATGCCATGATTTATTCAAACTATGCATAATTTTGCATTATGTGATATGAAATGATATTTTTCGGTGTCTGTCGAACGAGGTCGGTGTGCTGTCGGTGGTGAAATATTAAGCGCTTACTGCACTTATGTCCCGCTGGTCTTCTTGGTAGTTGTAATCATGTAGCAGGGTTATTATTTCGGATTGAAGCTGCTATTTTTATAGGGGTCTCTCATATAACTTGCACTAGTGCTTTATCTAACTGGAATATACCTACACTCAAAAAACAAATTGAACCAGCAGAAGTATACAAGTTCTTATTTTCAAAAGATAATTACTTGAACGAAGCTATTCAAAAGAGCTCGGAACTCCGAAAAGAAAAATTAAATCTAAAAAGAAATTTTAATGTAATGTCTGACAGCCAAGTAAAAGCTCTTTTAGATAGTAAATGTGTTCAAGAGGACTTTTATAAGAATATTAAAGATCTTATTCCAAAAAGTTGTTTTTGTGAAAATATGTGTGCAAAGAAAAAAATAAAAATAAATTTGTTTGTACCTACAATTTTAGAAATCGGGAAGAGTTTTATAGAAAATTGTGATCCAGAACTTGAAATTAGTAATTTGTCTGATTATTTTGCAGACTCACTTTTTCAGATGAGCAAATACAACACCTTTATAAAGAAACTGTTGAACAGTCAAATAGTGTTATGTGGCATAACCATCGTGTTGGACAAGTTATAGCATCGCAATTCAAATCAATTGTTGATACTGTTGACAAACATGGTTTTGATTTAGAACACCATTTTGTTAATATCGCATTCATAATGGATTATCAAACAGTAAATACAACATGGCAAATGAAGCATGGTTTAAATTGTTAAATCCATGCTAAGGCAAAGTTTACTTCATTGTTCAAAAAAAACCATTCAAATTGTACATTTTATGACCCTGGAATGTTAATTATTAAACAATATCCTTTTATTTTTTGCAGTCCTGATCCTGAAACTTGTCATGGAAATGGATTGTTAGAAATTAAAAGCCCTGCATCATTGATTGGTCAAATTCCAACTGATAACTATAAACATATCAAAATGAACAAAAATCAAGAAATAGTGTTGAGAAAAAAAAGCAAATATTATTATCAAGTTCAAGGCCAAATGGCAATAACAAATAAAATATACTGTTACTTTTTTGCATTTACGTTTAAAGGTAGTATCACTATTAAAGTTAATTTTGATGAACTTTTTTGGGACAATATATGCAAAAAGTTATGCTTGTTTCGGAGAAAACTAGTTGCTCCAAAAATTTTAAGTGGATCTCTGAAGAAAAAATATGAATTAATCCACAGTGAAAAAAACTTAATTAAAATTTCTAAACCAGATTTTTTAAATAAATAAATATTATTTTTTTAGTCATTTGGTCAAAAATGACTTATTATTCATATGTAAAACTTTGTACGTAAATCTTCATTTTTATCTTATTCAATAAAATAATTTACAAATTTGTGAAGTTTTAACCTTTTCTTTTCTTATAACTTTTTGAAAGATTAAGTTAAAATGTTAAACTTTTTCAACAAATGTATGCGATTGTAATTGTGCAATCATTTTCCTTCTTTTATGTTAGACTTCAAAGATATTTAGTGTAAAACCCGTAATATTGTGCAAAAAAATTTATTTAAATATCAATCTGGGTCTCAGCAGAATTGTTTTTATTTGAAAATTTTTGAGAAAAAAAAAATTAAAGTATTAAAAATGGTTTCTTACAAACTAATATTATTTTTAAAACCCTTATCAAAAAATGCTTTTATGGAAACCGAGGTTGACATACTTATGCATAAGTTTTTTTTTTTTTTTTTTTTGACAAATAAGAAGTTTTAGCTTAAATGAGAGGGAGGGTATTTGAATCCAAACATATTTGTAATCTGAGGATAAGTTAGAAAAAATTGCATATTTGAAAAAAAGAAATACTGAAAAGCATATAGCACTGTAACAAAACTTTGTGTATGTGTGGGACTGTCAGTCTTTTTGGAATAACCCCGGCAGAGTATAACCAACATCAAATGCCTAGTAGGCACAAGACATTTTGAAGGAGATGAAAAAAAGTATTAATACGATTCTTAGACATCATATTAAACACATAGTGCTTACTGGGTGACTAATTGTGCAGTGAAATAAACATATATATTAAAGAAATCATTTTTTGAGTGAAGTTTGTATAGAAAGCTAAAAGTTATTTCATATCTGAAAATTTCTACATTTCATTATGAGGAATGGTAGTAAGGCATTAAGCTGTCTAAGTTTATCATATTAATGGATGAAGCATTGTTACGCTTAATAGTTGTTCATAACTTTTTTTTTTAATTAGATTTGATACATTTTTAAAATATTTATACCAGTGGTTCCCAACCAGTGGACCATGGACCACAGAGGGTCCATAAGAACTTTTTATGCGGACCACAAGGTAAATGTTAATTATAAATATTAGATGTGCTCTATCAAAAACTAAATCAAACTTTCAGATATTATTTGCTGGTAAGAAGTGCCAGAATTCACATTAACCTGTTTTTGTATCATATATTAACTAAGATCAAGTATTTTTGTGTCACTGGTGGCCTAGTCTATTCAAAAATACCTTGAATAAAATATTATCTTGTAGAATAAAAATTTCATTTTTAAAATGTTCAACTTTGTAATAATTTTTGAAAGCAAAGGGGTCCATGAAGATTTTAAGATATATAGTTTGGGAAACGGTTTAGAAAAGGTTGGGAACCACTGATTTATACCCAATAAACTTAAAAATAAAGTATGTGGAATAGGATGGGTAAAAGCTAAAATTTTTTGACTTCTTATAACTTGTTCAACTAATATTCTAACTTTAGCAATAGCACTAGTTTTGCTTACATCACTTGCTATCATTTGTGAGGTGCCTCTACGACCAGGTGGAGTTAGAAAATAATTTTTTCTTGCAACACATTCTTCAATAAGGTTAAAACCTTTATACTATAACTTGGAACAATATCAAGAAACTTAGAGTCAAAAATTACTAATTCGACCTGTAAATGCTTTTGACACAAATATAATACTTGAATTTGGTGCAACACCAATCAGAAACTTTAAGGTGTTATGATGCTTATATTCAGACCGAGTTGCACTCTGAAGTTCTAAGTCTTTTGGTGTCTCTATGAATATTTCTGAACAATCAATAATAGCAAATAAGTTTTTAAACTGATGAAATCTTTCAGGTGTTGTTGCAATTATTGTTCCAAGGTTTGGTGCATAAAGAAAACATTTTAAATACTCTGCTAAGGCCTTCAACCAAGATTTGAAAATACTGCTGCATAATCCTTCTGAAATACCAAAGCGGTCTGATAAGTCTGTTGTTAGTAACCCCAGTCGGAGTTTCATTAAACATAAAAGCATTTCATCTTGTGAAACCAATTTTCTTGGTGGTCCCATTTTTTCTGGTGTTGATTGAAAATTACGCCTTTCTTTGCTCTTATCCCTTTGACGATAATGTCTCTTTGATGAAATTTTTTCATGAAGTTTATGAAACATTCCTAAATTTTCAAGCTTAGTATAAAACTTTATATTTTTTTCTGTTAATAGTTTTTTATAAAGTGGTTTTGCGCAAGTTAACTGTTCTTTAAATTCAAGTAGATGTTTTGTTAAACTGTAAATAATAAATACCAATAATGAAAATAATAAATCTTTAATGCTCAAAAAAAATTTAATTTTTTCAAAATTGGAATTTGATTTTTCAAATGTAACAGAGTTTCGTACATTAATGACAAGTTCAAAACTTTTAGATGCACTTAAATCAGCAAAACATTTTACTTCCTTAGAGTTATTTGGTTCATTTTGATAGTTTATAATTCTTTTTTCACCTGTAGATAAAAGCATCTCAGATTTTTCAGTTGCATTATATCCAAGATTTAAAGTTGGGTTAGGAAATTCTATGCTTGGTTCTTGGTCAACAAAATGGTTGGAGCAAACACAACTGTTTTTTGATGGTTCACAGTATTTTCCTTCTTTTGTTTTTCTGTTTATTAATTTTATCCAAATGTTCCTTTTAATTGAGCATTTTAATATGGTAGGGAATGGAAACAGCCTGCATAAAAAGTTTAAAAATTACTACATATTTATATAAAAAAAACTTCAAGCAAAATAAAACTTATACAAACATATTTTTTCACAAGCTTTTTTTCACAACATATTTGACTTGTTATTATTACTCAAAAGTATTTCTAAACTTTTAAAAGTAACACATTAAACTTAAGTTGAGCTAGAAGAGTTGAGTTAGTCTCAACAACAAACCTGAAAGGTGGATTAAAGGAACATAAATCAGATTTTCTAAGACACCCATGTTCTTCACAGAATAAATTCTTCCAATTTATAATATCTCTAATAGAGTTATGGCAATCTTTAACAACACATGTGTCTACCATAGTTTAAAAGAAATGCTTGATTTGGGTTAAAACGCAACAACGTCCGTACTATATACTGTTTTGATTTTGGTCGAAAAAATTATACAATATAAGGACCGGAACTGACATAACAAAAAGGTGTATTGTTATTGCGAGAATGTTTAAATGAAGTTTTGTTGGACTCTCTAACAGCTAGTAAGTTATTTTTTTAAATAAAAGTATAAGTAATAATTATTTTTAAAACTAAATTATGTTGATAAATTTAAAAATCTTTTTTTTTTTTTTTTTAAATTCCTAACGTTTAAGACTAAAACTTCAGTAAAACTGTTGCTTTTCAATTAATTGTTAACTCAATTGAGTTACAATTGAGAATACTTTGATCAAAGTATCAGTAGACAACTTTATAAAAACACCATATGTGTACATACACAATAAGTGTAAAGATCACATACTTTATGTGATGTTACACTTATTTATCTTTACACTTATTTACTTTACTAACAAAAGCCTTGTTAGTGTTTTTAAAATATATTATCATCATCTTATTATCATTTTAAAATAAAACCATTTATTTATTGATCACAATAGCCTGTTTAATAGGCTATTGTAAACAATAATTAAAAGATAAAGTAGTATACAATTTATATATTCCATTATCTAAACATTTAATTATTAAATGCAAAAATAAAATAGTATACAATAAATTAATGTTAATAGTCAATAACAGTTATAACTTTTTTTATTAAAATTTTTTAAAAACATAAACTTAATCATTAAGTTAATGTTTTTAAAGTGTTTTAATAATGTTAAAGCAATAATCATAGTATAAAAAATAAAATTGTCAATAATACTCAATAACAATTTTATCTTTTATACTATCAATATTATTTTATATTAATAATTTTGAATTATAAATTTCAAATTAATAAAAAATAATAATAATTATTAATTTATTGTTTACTACTTTAACTTTGCAGCAATATTCCAAGCGTTAGTTTGTTTTTTGTAATTAGATTTTTTTATATTTTCATTGTTAATTTTTTATTTAAGTTTTCATTTTGCCATTTATGATGGTAGAGTTAAAAAAAGTAAACAAGAAATAACAAGGCAGAGTTTACACTATTTCTTATTGGAAACTAGATGGAACTGATATTGAACTGTCAAAAGATTAAAAACTCCAGCTAGTTGCTGTTGTTATATCGGGAAAGTTTGAATTTTCTTAATTGGAATATGAAATTAATGTAAAAATACTCACAGGATAGCAAGTTTTGTAACCAGCAAAATAACTGCCACAAGTTTTATGGCTTGCAAATAGGTTTTGCAAGTTTTGTAGCTTGAAAATAAGTACAACAAGTTTTTTGACTAGCAAATAAGTACCACAAGTTTTGTTGCTTGCTAATAAGGTACAGCAAATTTTGTGGCTTGCAAAGAGGTACCACAAGTTTTGTGGCTTGCAAATATAATACTGCAAGTTTTGTAGCTTACAAATAGGTATTGGAAGTTTTGTGGCTTGCAAATAAGGTACAGTAAGTTTTGTGGCTAGCGAGTAGGTACCGCAAGTTTTGTGGCTTGCAAATTGATTGTTGGCTCTGGCTTACCTTTATGTGGTGTCTATTGTTAAAAATGATTCATTTTGTTTCATTAATGTAATTTAAAAATTAAATTATTTACTAGAAGCCCAGACAAGAAATAATTACATTTTTTATTTTAAAAAACTTGTTTTTTTTTTCTTAGGTTGGAGTGGTTAATCTGTTCCTTTACATGATAATGTATACTCAGATGCATCTTGTAATGTGGTAAAATAGTTTTTTATTTTAATTTCTTTTTCTTTAAAAAAACATTTTAAGACTTCTTTGTTAAATTGTAATTAAAATTTTTTTATTTGGTTCCAACAGAGGAGGGGGATGGCTTGCTCCTCTTTTTATAAAGACATATTATACACCTCTAGGTGTATAAATTGCCTTTATGAAAGGGGGTGCATAAAGGTAATTTATACATACTAAACTACACTTTTTTATTTCAAAAGGCTTGTTGTTTTCATGTATTTTTTTTTAGGTTGGAGTGTGTACTCCGTCTTTTTTCATGACAAAATGGTTACTCTGATGCTGATGCTCTGAAAGTTTTTTTTTCAGGTTTATGGCAGAAGGGGAGGGGGCAGTATAAGCCCTCTTCCATCAAAGCAATCTATACACCACTAGTTACTCTTTGTTATAGTGTTGAAATATATTTTTTTGTTTTTTATAATAGATTTAATCATTTCAGTAAAGATTGTAATAATTAAAAGAATGAAATTTTGATAGGTTGTGTTAATCCTTCCCCAAAACCCAACACCCAACTTTAAGATAAACCTGTAATATTTGCTAGTGATGTGGAATAAATAAATTATAACTTGTTGTATATAAATATTACTAATTTTATAAAGAAAACACTCTATTTTAAAAAAAATTGTATTTTTGTGAGGTATAGGTGGCGGAATAGCAACCCCTCTGGATCCCTCCAAGCGCCCTTTACCTAGAAACTAGTTTGAAATTATAGTCCATTTTTACATTCATCTTTTGATACTAAGTTATAGATATTTGAAACAGAATTGTCAAAGTTATAATAATTTATATAGAAAATTTTTTTTTTTGACCACAGTTTTATCAAGAAATCCATATATTGAAAAATTGCAACTAAAAACATAATATTTTTTTTATAGAATTGTCTAATTTTTAAATTTTTTTCACCTTTAAAATACTATATTTGAGGGCTTTCCAATGATATATAGCATTCTAGTATTGGATCAATTTAAAAAAATCAGTCCACGTACCTATTAATATAAATTTTATTTCTCAAACATACTACAAACACTCTAATATGATATATTATATATACTTATAATTTATGAACCAATAATTTTTTATTAATATCTAATCTATAAACAAGATATTTAAATTAATTTACTTTCAAGAATATCACTCTAATTCTAATATTCTTTTCTTTCTATTTAAAATCAAATTGTGTGCTCTTGTTCATCTATTAAATTGTCTATTTGTCTGAAACCACACACAAGTTACCCTACCTCTTCCAATCTGTAATTTCTTTACTTCTATAAAAAATTCTCAAAATTATCTTCCTCTTTTAGCGACCTTAAATTATATATTCTAAATCATTGTTCGGTTAAGTACAGCATAACAAATCACGTCACAAACCAATGCATAAAATCATGAAATTATTTATCATTATTCATAGAATAATTTTTTTTTTATTAATTATTATTATTCATAGAATAATTTATTTTTTATATTCATTTTATATCACTAAAATTTACTACTAAAACTCATTTTTATATCTTTTTATTTTGGAGAAATGTAATTACTGTTCGTAAAATGTTGAGCTCATTGTGGGTCATTATTATTGCTCTTGGTATGTAATTTAAATAGCAAAGTTATTTTACTTCTATATATATCACTATTACTTATTGTTATTGTTTAATATTAAATTTAATATTTATCAATATTATTGTTACTATTATTATTGTTATTATTATATTAATATAAATATAATTGTTAACATTACTTACCTCGTTATAATTGTTTTAATATTGTTATTGCTATTATTATACAATTGGTTTTTACTTAAGATTAGTATTAGTTCTATTTCTAAATATCCATGTTTATGTTGCATACATACACATGTATGACATATATGTGTGTGTTTTCTTTTAAGCAATTGCAAGTTTCCAAATACATGCAAAGTAAAGTAAAGAAAACAATACTTTTCAATTAGTAAGTTTAGTATTATTAATTAATTTTAATTTTTTACATTTTTTATCCTTATTTTTATAACATGATCAATTGAAATGCACTAGAACTTTGTTCTGGTGCATTTTAATTGAACTAAGTATAGCATTTTAATTTATTAACCTGGGTAAATAAATTTCCAATTGAGAGAGTTGATAGAGTTGCAGCATTTTTAGAGAAATATCAATGTTTCCCTAATGTGCTATTGGTAAAATTTTTTTTTTTTTTTTATTTGTGATTTCATATATTTATTGGATAAAATGAAACAGTGTTTGAAAATCACAAATCTTTTTTTAAATGAGAAGGTATTTTCAAAACTGCTATGTCCTCTAATGGGTTATTCTATAAGTTTTCTCTGCCTTTTAAATTTGTATTCTTTTTTTATTATTATTACTTAATTCAGGCTGTTGGCGACATGGTACATGTATTAAAGTCTTCTGTCACAGTTGACTCAGCAAGAATGAAGACATTGATACACTTTTGTATTATGGAACACACAAGTTGGCAGTTCCTCGCCCACTGCCACCCAAATACAGGTAGGTATGCATGCATACACAACCCTTAAAATTAGTAAAACTAAAATGAGTTATAAATTGTCGACAGTTTAAGATATGAAAAGATATTATTGTTAAATTTTGAGTTTGTAAAATTTATTTTCAGGTATAAGAAATCATTATCTGTACGTAACAGACGATGGAGACGAAGTGAATATTATGTGTGGCAAAAGATTATTTTATGAAGTTTTTCATTTTCTGACTTGATATGAAAAGATATTATTGTTAAATTTTGAGTTTGTAAAATTTATTTTCAGGTATAAGAAATCATTATCTGTACGTAACAGACGATGGAGACGAAGTGATTATTATGTGTGGCAAAAGATTATTTTTTGAAGTTTTTCATTTTCTGACTTCGTGATGGAATTTATTGGAGTACACTTTTTTTGGACATAGGAGGAGTATTGCCGCTACAAACATGAACAATAATAAAACATTCCAAAGAATAATTTGTTATTTCAACGATTAGATTTGTTGTTTAAATGTATAAATGCTTGTTGATTATTCTTATTATATCATCCTAATTTCAAAATAATGTTTCATTTTTTCCTTAGAAAAAGTACTTTTGTAATATTGTTTTATAGTTCAGGGGAAATATTATTGAAAAAAAATATATAATCTTATTTTAAATAAAAATAGCATTCAAACAAGTAAAAGATGATTTTTTTTAAGGAATATAAGTTCTTGAAACAAGAAAAAAATACATAATTTTAAGAAAATAAGTTCTTAAAACATGAAAAAAAATGCTTATATTCTTAAAACAAGAAAAAAATTCTTATACTAAAAATAAAAATTCTTGAAACAAGAAAAAAAAATCTTGAAACAAGAGAAAAGAAATATTTAAAAATAAAAGTTCTTAAAACAAAAAAACAAAAATCTTATTTTAAGAATAAAAATTCTTGAAACAAGAAAAAATAATCTTACGTGGCGGACAAGTCATTTTTTTCTTGTTTTAAGACTTTTTTTTGCTTAAAACAAGATTTTGCTATATATATTTGTTTATATTTATATATATTTTTAAAATAAGATTTTGCTGTGTAAATCTTTTAAACTATTATTAATTGTTTACAAAAATAAATGTTTTATAATATATATTTTTAAAATTGTCAAAATTTTGAAAGTTAATTACAAATTATATATTTTATTAGTATAATCTTAATTTTTATATCTTTTCTTAGTGCTTGGTTTAATTAATTGTTCGTTAGATTTGTAAAAAAACTAACGAAAAACTAGTAAAATAAACTTTTAATAAAATAAGTAACTATAGTTAGCTATTTTAGTAAAGTTTAATAGCAAAATTTTTAAAGAATTTTCAATGACGTCATGCACTAAAACTCCTATGAATTAAACGCGATTGAATAAATTATCAAGTCGCGTTTATTTTACATACTCAAAATACCACAGAAAATGGAGAAGACAAGCTTCGACTAAAACAACAAGATTTTTTTTTCTTGGTATAGACTTATTAATTAGTATTAATCAAAAAAAATTTGCTCAGACATTTTTTTTAACATTCTCTTTAATATAAATACAACATGTCTCGGGACTTGGTAGTCCCTTTAAGAAAATAACCTCCATTTTATTTTTAATTTCAATTTCGATGACAAATTAAAATCCTGTAATAAATTTTGAACTTAAAGCAATTATAATAAAAAAACTATTATGATTCACACTTTTTTAATTGTGAAGAAGTACCTTAACGCAGTTAGCACGGATTCTTTTAATGCCTACCTAGCTGTCCCAAGAACGGAACACATCAAGGTACCCTGTGATGCAAATTTTGAAATCATTTAATTTTGTCAGCGGAAAGTAATTTAGTTTGAATGTTCAAATTAAGTCAAATTTTAACTTCATAGTGCGCCAATAAAAACACTTACAGAATTTGAACCACTCAATATAATTTGATAATTTTAGCCTGATTGGATGACTGGTTTAGGATTTATTGCAGTTTTAGTTAAAGTTTTGTCAGTTTTTTGCTACTTATACCTCAAAGCGTTACCGATTACATTGAAATTCGGTCACTATTTTTAAAATAACGGTTACATGAGTGTTCTACTATGTATTACCAACAATTTTTGTTATAATTATTTTATCGGTACATGTAGGGTAAGGTTGCCGATATTGTACCCTCTAAGAGTTAAGTCAAAAATAGAGAAAAAATACAAAGTAGAAACAATGAGACTTTATTCTATTTTATAATTTGGGGATAAACTGTTCTAAAAAAGTTGAAATATTCAAATATTTTAACGTTGTTATTTGATAGGGAATTACATTTTAAAAACACGATATCGGTACAATTAAGGAAAAAAGATCCTAAATCGTACCATTATAATCCAATATTGTACCTATATCTTGATTTTACAAATACTATATTAATTTACAGTACATTTTAAATGATTTTTATAAAGATCTTTTTCTGTGCCAAGCAATGTAAAAAAGTTCCTAGAATAGTCTGAAAACATCTCAATAAGATATAACTTTTATATTAAATGTGTAACTTACTTATGTGGTTTCTAGAATTTTGGTAATAAAATGATGGATATTACTGCACATTATATTAATAATACAAAACAGAAAATCTTTATTCTTGACAAAAGTTACAAATATAACGTTTTTGTTTTTGATTAACACCTGCACAGTCATTATGGCACCAGCCTTGACATGTAAGGTATTATATCATACTCTTTTTTATATTTTTTTCACAGAGGTAGCAAAACCAGCTTTCATTTTGAAGTGATTTATTTGCTTGCTCACACTCTTTCAAACATTGTCTGTCCTGCTTTATTTTTTTATTTGGTCGCAGTAAAGCTCTTCCAGAGAGTGCATCTTTGTAAGGACTACTCGTCAATACAGTTGTATTAGAATTATTTTTTTCTTTTGAGAGAAGAAGTTCTAACTGGAAGTGGAGATAATGCTTTTATTGGTATGTCAAGACACTGCAACCTAAAAAATAACCAATAACAATTCTAACAAATTTTCTTCAGCCTAAAAATTTTCTGCTAGTAAAAATTAGCTTTAAATTTTCATTTTAATTAAGAAAATAATATTATTATGAATAACCTTCGGAGATGAACATGTGTGTGTGTGTATTGTGTGTGTATTTTGAGTGTGTGTAACCATTAATGTAAAATTGCAACAAACAAAATAAAAGACTTACTGTTCTGTTTTTTTCATTGATGATAATAAAGTTACGTTAGAGAGTGGTTCATTATGTGCATTATGTTTCAATAGATTATGTGCATTCAATAGATTATGTGCATTATGTTTCAATAGCTCTAGATTTTTTTGGATTTCGCTCGAGTGAAAAAGTTTGCACTGGATGTGTAGATATTGTTTCTAAAATAATTTCATCCTAAATAAATGAAACGTTAAACAAAAAATATATAATTAGAACAACAGTAACAATTATGGTATTTGAATAAGTTGAGAAAGAAAAATTTGTGACTAAAGGCAAACTATGACTAAACTTACTGTTTGGGAAGCTTTTGCATTTGAACTCGTCTCTCCACTGAGTATTTCACAAGGTACAAAGTCCTTTTCCCGGAAAACTGAGCTGTCTACCGGTCATATCCCAGTGTCTCTAAATCCATTAATAGCAATTTCCATACCAACAACTTTTGAGTAAGCTTCGCCAAACAATTGAGATGGGTTCGCATCCATTTATCACAAGCAGTATTATATTTAGAATTTAAAGCTTTGAAAAAAGATCTATCTAAAGGTTGTAGCCTATGAGTCGTATGCGATGGCAAAGAAAGCATTACTGTTCCGTGATCTCGAGCTAGAATTAAGGCTTCAAGGTTTTTTGTATGTGTTGAATGCCCGTCAAGTATAAGAAGAAATTTTTTTTGTTCTGGATTTTCTGCAAGAGGTTTAAGACAAAGTGAGCTTATAAAATGACTTATCCACAAAGTAAATAAATCTTTAGTTATCCAACCAGTATCAGAACATCCAAAAACTGTCAATGATGGTGCACCATCTTTAAGCTCATTTTTAAATCTTTTACGTTTAAATATAAGCATAGGAGGTACAAAAGATCCAACAGCATTCATACAACATATGGCAGTGGTATTCACACCCCTTTCACCACTTGTAATACCTCCTACTTGGTGTTTACCTTTCAGAGCTAAAACTTTCCTTAGTTTGTGAACTGTACTTATTCCAGTTTCATTTACGTTGTAAAGCAAATCTGCAGTAATATTGCGATTATCAACAAGTTCAGTAAGTTTATTGAAAAATAATACAAATTTTAAATAATACAAAAACCTGTGGCTCTTGCCATAGAAGTTGGTTCAGGTAATCTCAAACTAAGGCTTGGATTGCGTTTCATGAATTGGTAATACCACTTCTTTCCAGCCATACCAACATCTTTGTTGAATTGATGAGGAATTTTGTTTTTTTCAGCCATTTCAAATGCTAATCGTCTAAGATCTATTGTAATTATTCCAAACATACAAGATTCCAGTTTCAAAACATGTTCAACTAATTCTTTCTCAACTTCAGGAGGTAAGATAATACACCTACCTAACTGTTTATTTGATTCATTTGCAAATATATTTTGATGGTTCATATGTCTTTTTAATGTTGGTTAAGGAATTCCATATTTTGCACATACAGCGTTAAGTCAAATTTTACCATTTCGATAAGCAAAAATAGCCTCTTTCATATCTTCTTTTGTCCACAAACCATATCTCCGTTTCGACATTTTTAAATTCATATAATTTTTATATACTTCACGCGTATTTTGAGCATTCAAAATGGCAGCCTTGGTACAATTCAAGACCTTAAGTGAGGTACGAATTACGCGACTAGACTCACTTTGAGTTTATAACGAAACTAGACAACAAATGCTAATGTGTTTTAATTTCTTGGAATTTAATTTGAATTCATATAACTAGTGCTTTCACATAAATATGATAAAAAAGACATATTTAACATGTTTAAAGTCTTACAAATCTAAACATTGAACCCCAAAAATAAGAAAACTTTGGCATCTTATCAACTCGAGGTAACTGCTGCCAGAATCTAGTTTTATCTCACGAATAAACAATTGATTCGTTAGTTCAACATAGCAAAGATAAAATTTAAGTCAAAAGATATTTTCTGGGTTGTAAAAATAACTAGATACAGCAAAAGTACAATTTAGGCGCCGGTACAATATCGGCAACCTTACCCTACAGTTTTAATTTAATGACTAAAATAGTGATTTTCTACTTAAAACGTGATTTAAATAGTCTTATGCTAATATTGCCGACACAACCTTTAAAGTAGAGGGGGTCAACTCCTCAATTTCTAAAATAAAATCCATAATTTCTAAAACAATTGCCTATATTTCTAAAACAAAAGGTCCTCGCAAAAAAAAAAGTAGAGAAGGACATGACCCCTAGCCTCCCCGGCCATGCATGCTTTGTTTAAATATAACATTTTCAAAGGTATAAACTGCTGCCAAAAAAAAAAGCTAAAAAAAAGTGCAAAACCTGGTCATATGACTACCAGTAAGTAAAACAAACAAAAAAAAAAGTAGATCTCCTAAAATATTTTGTATTGACCTCCTTAAATACATTTACTTTTAAAATAAAGTGAAAACTATTTAAAACCTATTTTCTACATTATATTACCATCAAATATCTAATTACATTTTAAGTAATTTTTTTTTGATTTTTTTTCACCAAAAGATTGTTAATAAATAGCTCAATGTACTCTTTTGATATAAATACTCTATAATACTACTTTTAAAGATGGTGAAAATATTCAATATACGCCGTAAAATATAGATTTCAGCAGCCTAATTTCTAATAACTCTAATGATGTTCTTTAAAGATGCTTACTGTTTAGATCAATAATGCAGAGGAACAATTTTTCTTTGTACTCTGGATGATAATTATTTTGCTTGTACTTCGACCAATGTTAATTAAAATCTTGATGAGAAGTTTCGACAGTTTGTTCACTATAGGGCCCCAAGGGGGATCCTTTGTGACTGATGAAATCCTTGATGTCGTCTTCTACAACATCAAGGATTTCATCAGTCACAAAGGATCCCCCTTAGGGCCCTATAGTGAACTTTGGGTGTTACACTTGCACCAGTTATCATTAGGTAACACTTTTTGAAATTTTCAATTATTTCAGCTAAATCCGGCTGAAGGATTTATTTAAAGCAAGCCTTGACAACTAAATTGAAGCTTTTGAATACTTCAATTACGCACACAATATTGGGAACTATGTTTGTCTCAGCAAGTTGCTGCAGCATATCCACATTTTCAAGAAGTGTTTTCTGCATTCATTTCCCTTAACTGGCCCCCCTGATATGGGCTCAGTTAAAGGTTGAGGACGTCTGGCAACCTAACAACTTCTATCCAATTAGTTTTAAAGATCTTGAAAAGATGGTTGACAACTTCTAAGAGGAGATGCAATTCCAAAAAACTTAAAACTAAAAATATATATTTTTTAGTTACAATAAACTTTGTTTTGTAAGTTTGTGTAAAACTTTCAAATTATATATTTTTAAAGAGATTAGAAACTTGTTAAAAATATAATTCTTGAAATCTATTTAGTGGTATTTCTTAATAGTCAAAACTTTATTCAATATATATGTTAAAGTTATTTAAGAATAAATATTTACCAGGGGTAACTGTAAGTGGAGGCCCGCCGGATGCTTTAGCCAGTAGAATAGTTCTTTCCTGTTCCTTCTACACCAATCGCAGAATCCTTTTGGTACCTGAAGATCACTGATACTGATCACTGATATCTTGGTCTTGTAAAGTTGACATATTCAATATGCTTGAAAAGTATTAAGCTGTTGTAAACATTTTTTTAGACAGAGCAAGCACACAAACTTTCAATTGTCATCATGATTCTTTACTTGATTTGGCATCGTGGTTATTCATTAAATTTGACTTCACTAAATCAAACTCTGCGTTTTACAAAATTTGACCTAAATTTATATTTGATAACAATCCACTTAATATACTAACACATATTAAATAAAAACTATTAAAATAAAGGAAATATTTACTTGATTTAATAAGGTAATATTAAATTACAAGGAAATAAATCTTGAATAGTTCTTTCTTTACCAGGAAACAATTGTTTAAGCTATTTACTTGTAAGGAAATTACATTATTGATAATTGTCACACTTATTAAACTAATGATACTTGTCACACGGGTTGTTTTATTTTAAACTAACCCTTCAACCTAATTAGTTATTCAGTTAGAGTAATTTTTCTCCGACTGGCTTACCAAACATTGTTTTGGTCACATATCTTAGTTAACTAATCTAAATTTTTTAAGTCAATTATCTTTGTCAATATAAAAAATATTTCGTTTTTTTACCGTTGTTCTGTTTTCAGATATATAAATATTTTTATTTTTTATTTTAGGTATCCCTAGAAATCCTTCTCAACCATTTTTTTAGAATTTTTTTTGTATTCTGGCAGTAGTTTATAAATTAGGAAATGTTGGTATATTCACGCTATGCATACATGGCCGTCAAGGGAGCCATAGCCTGCCCACTTTTTTTTTGCAAGGACCTTTAGTTTTAGAAATATAGGCAGTTATTTTAGAAATTATGGATTTTATTTTAGAAATTGAGGGGTTGACCCCCTTTTTAGATATTATTTTTATATTTGCTTGCTATGGATACCTAATATTGCTTAGCAACAACCTATTTTTGAAGTTGTAGATTGCTTTATGTGTGTTACATACTTTTAAAATATTTTGCGCATTAATAAGAGGTGTGCATTATTATAAGGTTTTATGAGGGGGATATTTATTATTTGGTTGCTATGGTTATTATTTTATGGATACCTAATTTACATAGCAACAACTTATTTTGATAGTTGCTATGAGTGCTAATTTACTTAATTTTGCAAGAGTACTAAAAAGAGGCCAAACTTTATATGGAAGTTATAAATTTTTTTTATTTAGTTGTATTGAAGCCAAAGAGTACCGTGTTGCATAATTTTATTAATTTGTTGTGTTTAAACGCATTTTTACTGAATTTAATTAACAATAACCTTTATTAAATTATATACAGAGCAGCCGTGGCGCAGTGGTAGCGCACTTGTAAGATCCGTGATTCAAACTCAACCTCTGGCCAAGTTTCATGGATTTTTATTTCTTTTTTTGTGGTACTTTCAAACTGTTTAAAAAAAAGTTTAAGAACTTTTATCACAATTAAATACTGCTTTAATAAATACTGCTTTTCTAAATACTGCTTTAATAATTTCGTATATAAAAATAATTACATATAATATATGGGTGACACCCTATTTGCCGCCCCGCATGAGACCATAACTAGGAACGCCACTGGCTCTGTACTTATGTTTGCTATCCATATATTAAAAAGAACATAAAACAACATTAAAGTAGATCACCAAAAAAAATATTGCAACATGAAAGTAGATCAACAAAAATAAAGTATCGAAAGAATTAATTATTATTTTGAATAGATTTAAATGAGGGTAGAAATTTACAGTCTAAAAACAATTTACATACAATTTTTCTGCTTTTTAATACTTTAGAAAGGGCTGAAAGCTATCAAGTGTAGTGTTTTTTTATTTGTTTGTAAGTATCTAGTAAAACACTTACAAAAGTTTTGTTGATAACAAAAATCTACAGATATAGGAAAGCGACATAAGTTTTTTAAATTACCTTATTACAAGAATGTTATATATTATTAGAAAGGTTTTAAACTAGGGTTGTTCGCCGAAAAACAAAACTTGCGAAAATTTCGCATCTTTATCTACCGTAATAGAATTGTTATTACGGAAGTTGCACATGCGAAAATGCACATTCCGTAACGCGCTATATGAAAATATAAATAAATAAAATTCCGTAATAAAGCATTGCGAAATAAAACTTGCGAAACAAATCATTTTGTAAGAATACTTACGAAATAGCTCCTTACGGAAAAAGCATTCCGGAATGTGTAGTTACAAAAAAGACGCAAAAGATTTTATGTTACGATATATTTAAGATATTAACTGTTAACAGTTTAAATAATAAATAATAAAATTATAAAAAAATGTTGTCAAATGATTCTTCAAATGTTTATACAAATATACCTAATATATACATATATATATATATATATATATATATATATATATATATATATATATATATATATATATATATATATATATATATATATATACATATATATATATATATATATATATATATATATATATATATATATAAATATATATATATATATATATATATATATATATATATATATATATATATATATATATATATATATATATATATACATTAACGGGATTTTACTGTATATATATATATATATATATATATATATATATATATATATATATATATATATATATATATATTTATATATATATATATTCATATATATATATATATATATATATTTATATATATATATATATATATATATATATATATATATATATATATATATATATATATATATATATATACATTAACGGGATTTTACTGTATATATATGTATATATGTATATATATATATATATATATATATATATATATATATATATATATATATATATAAATATATACTTATATATACATCTCTCTAAAGGTAAATGATATCAGAAAGAGTAAAAAGAGAAGAAATATATGTGAAACAGCGGGATGTGAATCTGGGTCTACGCGGCCAAATGTCTTAACTGAATGAGCTATACGTTCATTCAACTAAGAGAATAGTAATATTTATTTAATATATAATTTGAAACTATATAAAACAGAATTTACAGAAAGAGATACGTATGCAAATAGGATTCTATATATCAGGAAAATGAATAGTAATGTGAACCTTTAGATGCTTATAATTAATATCTGGACTCAAAAACTAGTTACTTTTAATGGAACACAATAGGCTGTAGGAGCCTCAGGGAAATTATATTCAGAAATGGTTATATTAGACTCAGAGTTAGCTAGAAATTATTACAAAGTATTTAGGACAGATGTCTAGTACAAAAAGCAAAAGATTTAAAGCAAAATGAATTATATTATTTGAAAAAATTGTTTTACGTACATTTCATCATAATTTAAGTAGAACTTAGTAAAGCAAGGGAAACGTGTTGAATTAAGCACAATGAACTCAATCTTAAAAGAATAACTAACAGAAGAGAGGTTGTCACTATTGTGAAGGCGACGAAAGATCTGTAATATAGAACATGGAGGTCAAAAAATGCTATCTTAAGTAAAAAGAGTTTGATGAACAAAAGTTACAACGGCTGCGGGATGCGAACCCGGATCTCTGCGGCGAAATGTCACGTATCTAACTGATTGAACTATACAATCTTATACTCAAATTTATATCTTATTAAAAATAAAAAACAAAATTTTCTATGATCTATACTTTGAAAAGCGTATTCAAACAGGACTCTACATACTTTTAAAATCTGCTAGAATTTTAGTAACGTGCACACTTTTAGAAATCATTGAAATAAGTATATTTTATCAGAAATATGCTTAAGCTAAAGCATATTTTTGAGCCTCTTTTTACTATTTGCTTAAGCATATTTGAACCTGTTTCAAAAATTTCATATGATTTAAAAAAAAAACATGTATATTCCTACCCTTCATTCTTATTTTTAATATACGTAATGAGTTCAAAAAACATCGTTGTATATTTTTATTATGGCACGTTTCGTAAGTTTATTTCCGTTAAGAATTCTTTTGTATGTTGTGATCCGAAATACTTTCGTTTCGAAAGAAATTTTATTTTTTATCAATATTTCTAAAAATAAAACCGTAAAAATTTAATAAGTTATTTTACTGAAAATAAAAATTCATTATAAACATTTTGGGATTTAAAGATGTTAATTTTGACAATTAAAATCAGTCTGGCAAACAAATTTTCTTTAAAGACTTCAAAACGTCGTTTGGCAAAAATGTTTGTTTCGCAAGTGCGACTTTCGAAACCGCTACTTTCGTATGTTGCGAAATAGTTTTGTTTCGTATGTCAACTTGCGAAATTTCGGAAGTGGCTTTTGCGAAATGAAGATCGGCGATTTTAAATGTTTTGTAACATTCGGTACGAAAAAATCTAATTCCGTGTTCTCAATCTCCTTACGAAAGAATGTTGTTTTTCCGGAATTGCACAAAATCCTCCGGTTAACAACCCTATTTTAAACACAGTATTTTTAAGATGAAAAATAATGAAAAGTGAACAATTTTATAAAATATAATGATAATTTTAGTAACAAATATTCAATATAAAGATATGAAAAAACTGTCATAAGTTCTTAGTTATCCTTCGCATAAATTCTTTTTAACTTACATAAAACTTATATCTTACATATTTATTTTGTACTTTTTTAGATACCTATATTGTTTAATAACTTTTTTTAGTTACACACAGAAAAATACATTTTTGAATAAATATTTATCAGATTTTCAACCGTCTTATTTTAAATAACTATTAAATATTTAATATTTAAGTAATTAAACTTAATTAAAGATTAGTTGCTATGGATACCTATATTGCTTAACAACCAGATTTAGGTCTAATATTATAACTAAAATATAACAAACTTAATAATAGTCTAATTAACTACAGTCATAAAAACTTCGTTATTATAATAATCTTAAACTTATCAGTCTTGATATATATCGTAGAATACCTAAAAGTTATGAGAAATTTGATTATATTAAAAAATATACGTAAAGTTGAATTTAATAAATATGTGATTATTCGCACTTATCTGATGGATCCAAGAAATTAAAATTATTAACTTAAAAAAAAAAAAAGAAAGAAATGGAGCTCAACAAATTCTTGTATTTATATTTTGGTACTGAATATAGTAAGACTTATACTCAGCCAGTTTCAAATGTTTTGAGTAAAAAATATTTAACAAAAACTAAGAACACCCGGCTTACCATTACTTTACCATTTTCACATCGTCGTAATGTTGCTTCTCTTTCTCTTTTCTACAAATAGTATAATGGGCACTAACTAACGTCTCTTGTGTCATCTATTAAAATTCATTCTAATGTTACTCGTCATTCAATTAAGTCTCATTATTATAATAGGTTAGCTTTTATGACTGTAGTTAATTAGACTATTATCAAGTTTGTTATATTTTAGTCATAATATTATAATATTAGACCTAAATCTGGTTATTAAGCAATATAGGTATCCATAGCAACTAATCCTTACTTAAATTTAATTACTTAAATATTTAGTATTTAATAGTTATTTAAAATAAGACGGTTGAAAATCTGATAAATATTTATTCAAAAATCTATTTATCTGTGTGTAACTAAAAAAAGTTATTAATCCTTTTTCTGTGACTATTTCTAAGTGCTCCAAAAACTCTTATTCAACTAGTTTTTTTCCTCCTACTGTTCTTTGAATTCCCTTCCTTCATCTTGCTTTCCTGATTCATATAATTTGCAATCTTTTAAGCCGTCTGTCAATTGTTATTTTGCTCTACAATCTTCATCTTTTCTCTTACAGTAACTTCCAACACTAATGAGTGGTTGCTTGCAGCCTTGTTTGGTAGCAAAGATGTTTAAAAAAAAAAAATAAAAAAAAAAAAAAAAGTGAAAATAAGAATAAACTAAACCACTTTGTTAAATTGCCGTTACAAACAATAATCCTAATCTATAAATAATAAAATGAATTAAGCTTACTAAAAAGACCTTCAGCTCCTTCTACTAACTCTAAAAAATAAAACAATACTTGCCTAAAATTTTTTTAAAATACTAAAGAGAAAACTGATACATTTCTGTAAAAAAAAAAGAAACATTGTACTAAAATAACTATTTTGCCAGTCATTTTAGTTAACTACTTTTAAGAAAAGAAAATAGGTTATAGAAATAAGAAAAATAAAATTAATCATCAACAAACCAGTGGCGGATTAAGACTTCTTGGGGCCCGGGGCTATTTTTGATATGGAGGCCTTTTTATGGGCCAGAGACTAAAAATGACTTAAAAAGTAAAAAAAAAGGTCCTCTAAAGTTTTTGAGGGCCCCTAAATTTGCGGGTCCCGGAGCTATAGTCCCCCTAGCCCCCTTTGATCAGGCACTGCAACAAACAAACGATTATTTAAATTTTTATTATAGCTTTCAACATCAATTCTTCTTGACACTAGAAATTTTTCAACCAATAAACAGGCTTTCGGCACTATAAGAAAATTTCGTAAGGTATTCTATCCACGGCCTTAAAAATATATCAGCTCCACTGATCTCAAAATAATATTTTGAGATCAGTGATCAGCTTTAATTTGCTTTAAGACTTCGCTCAAAAAACCGCAAAGAGAAAAGCCGAGAAACTACTTTAAAAACGAAAGTGAAACGACACTATTAAATTACAGATGTGTAAATTTTTTAAGAAAAATTTTGAAGGAGGTATTAAATGAAATTTAATAGCTTCTTTCTACCCTCTTTTTTTCAAAAATTAACACATATTTTGGATTATTGCGACAAAATAAGAATTTGTACATAAAATTTTATTTGGGTTACAATATCAAGAACCAAAAAGTATTATTCTTAGAATAATTTTCGTGTATTAACCCGGAATTTTCAAATAGATTTTTGGACATAAATCGCAGCAAAAGTGAAACACGAGAAGGCTATCAATAAATGGGTGTGTGGTATTGTTTAAAAATCCCATGACTGTTTTAATTGTGTAATAGACTTCTCCTTAAAGATTTTATCTTTTCCATTCAGTATCGAAGAAAAGATAACAAGTATGCTTGTTTGTAATATTGAAACATTGTGAATTTCGGATAGTTGTAAGTTTTAGATAAACAATTTAATTATATACATTGTTAATGATATTATTATAGCAATAAAAAAAAAATCGTTTTGATAACAGAGATAACTCTATATACTTTTATTCCTAAATAATATTGAAATATTATAAATAAACCCTAATATAAATATACTTGGGGGAAAAAAAGGCTTTGCGACCATATTTTCAATTATTGTCAGGTTTTTCAATTAAATTCTAAAACTTCAAATTGTTTTTTTTCAATTGATAGACAACATTTTATTGAACTAAGTTAAACACTATTTTCTTAAAAACAAAAGTTTCATGTAGTGTCAATATAGATATAAAGTTTAAAAAACTAAATTATTAAAAAAAGGCAATAAATCATAAAAGAAGGCAATAAGAACAAGTACATTAATAGTATTTATTTACATCCTGGTTTATTAGGCTTATTTACTGTATGGAATACTGTTGCCATATTTGGTCTGGTTCTCTTTCCAGAAAAGGTCCAAAAACACATTGTCAACAGTTGGACCTGCTCTATCTGCTAAGCTTAAGCTTCTATCTATCATTTTAAAGTTGCATCTAATTCTCTTTTCTACAAATACTATCATGGTTGCTGCTCAAAGGAGTTCTCATCATTTTACTGTATCTGTTCCTGCATGCTCTGAAAATTTTTATTCAACTAGTTTATTTCTCTGCTCTTTAACCTTTTGGAACTCTCAACCGTCTTTATGTTTTCCTTTTGTCAACTCTATTCTTTTTTCTCCAAATTTAATAGTGGTTGTTTGCACCCTTGTTGGGAATAAATCAGAATTATGAACAGCAAGAATATTCCAAATTTTTTTATGTTCATATGTAAGACAAAAAGATTCTTTAAAAAATCACAGTCAACTTGTTGTTGACTGTGATTTTTTATTTTTTAAAGAATCTTTTTGTCTTAATTTAAAAAATAAAAAATCACATCAACTTGTTGTTCTCATATTTAGGGCAATCCCTGCCCTAAATATGAGAACAACAAGTTGATGAAATTTTTTTTGTACTATTTTTAACTAGACTTATATTCATTGAGGAATTTTAAATTTCATAGTAAATTTTATTAGTGTTAAAAAATTATGACCATATAAAGTTAATACCCCTTCAATTTAACGGGGTTGTAAAAACATACAAGAAAACAGTTTAATAAAAAGCTTTTTTTTTATTATTGTGTAATTAGGTAAAACTTTTGAAAACAATGTTTCATTTTAATTGTGCATGATATTTTCTACATTTTTTTTTCCTATTTGTAAAATAAGATATTAATAAGTTATACTGTTATTTGAACTTTTTTTCTCATATGTATGTTGACTTACATAGTCGAGGAAGCATTTGTGTGTGATTGCCTGCCATTCCTGCCAAAAGCTGTATATTTATATATACGTAAAAATATATTTCTATATACATTTACATTTGCATATATATGTATATGTATGTTGTATGTGTCCTGGTTTTATATTAAATCTTGTACTCTTTTGTAGGAACATCAAAATGGGTCAACTTTTTACACATCCCAAAAAGAATGAAACCACTATTTTTAGTCAAACGTTTAAATTAAAGTTTAGTAATAGTGTTGGAGTGGATTGGAGAACTCTTGGGCGTTGGTTAAATATTGAAGATAGCTATTTAGACATCATTGATAAAGATAATAGTAAAAGTGATGAGAAAGCATATTCAATGTTAACTAAATGGTTGCAAATGAAAGACAATCCAACACTTGAGGATTTAAAAACAGCTTTAAAAGAAATGAATAGAATGGATCTAGTAAGAAAAGTAGACGAATTTACAAGTAACTATTTTTTTAATTACTTTAATATCTTTAAGCGATACTTTACAAATTTAATAGAATATAAATCAAATTATAACTTGTTGTAAGCGTTGAAAAGGAAATTTGAGTTATTTAAATATTCTAAAGCAGACAACGTTTAAAAAATTTATTTTAGTTTGTAAATTTTTACATAGGACAAAAACGGGTAGTATTGTTAGATTTCGTCTTCATCAACAACTTTAAGTCCCATACTGTTTAAATTTAATCAGAAATTAAGGTAATCTTGTAAGTCTGTATTTCAAAAATACAAACTATGGCTACAGTAATAGAGGTCAAAAAAAAATGTGTTATATAAATCACCATTTTGTTTGATATACTTCTATTACCACTATGTAATGAAATTGATTTTGGAAAAAGAGTTTGTCTTGCTCATAGAAAAAATCAAAAGCATTATGATTTCTGTCAGCAAAGCAAATACTGTAAAAAGGTAAAGTGAAAAGAATACAAAGGCATAGCAAAGTTTGAGGGATTTTTATTACTATTTAAGGAAATAAAGAACTATATACATATTAAGGAAATAAAGAACTATATACAGCTGAACTGACTTTATAACATATTTGACATTTTACATGTTTTGCTCATTGATTTATAACTTTTAACTATTTTATTAAAGTTTTTTTGAAAAGTTTCTTTTTATTAAAGGTGTTTGTATTTGATGAATTACATGAAACTAAACAGGCTGCTTTTTTTCGATGCTGTTTCAGTTATTATGGTTTCTATTTCAATGAACTAGATGATGTGCAATTCAGTTTGTCTGGCTATCAATGCTATTGACGCATAATGTTTTAAATAAGAAATTTATGTTTTCATTCAATTTTATATTTACATAAGTTTTAGCTAATTTTTTTTATGTGTTAGTTAACAAAAGATTTAAAATTTAACTACATATATTTCATGTGCTACATAATAAACCAAGAATTTGACAAAGTGAAAACAATTTTTATATTTTCTAAATATTATGTGAACCAATGTCCTTATTTTCATGGAAAAAAAAACCCTAATAAAATTTTTTCCTGGTACTGTCATGTTTTACTTATTTCTCTGCACTTCAACCTTGTTTCTCAAGGTTCTTTTTATATCTGATGTTTTAATTTTAACAAAAAATGAATAATAACTAAATAACTTGAAGATATAAAAAATAAATACAGTTTAAAACACAAGTAGTATTTTATATGGGCTCGTCAAACTATTATGAAATCCTCTGTTTTTTGTGGTATGAAGAAAACAGGTGGTTCACAATTTTATGACACCACACTTTTATTATGGTTTTTCTCAGTTCCGCTAGTGAGGTTGGGCTCTGCCCAGAAACCTCTGCTTATTATTTTACTTCGACAATTGATATGATTTAAATTGGATAAATTGTCCAGCCATAAAAAAAGAGTGTTAGTTGAATTTTTTTGATGCAATATCTGACATGTTTGGCCTGATGCCAAATTGGCTCTAAAACACGAGACTTGTTTAATGTGGTTACAAGTTATATATATATATATATATATATATATATATATATATATATATATATATATATATATATATATATATATATATTAGGGTTGTTAACCGGAGGATTTCGTGCAATCCCGGAAAAACAACATTCTTTCGTAAGGAGATTGAGAACACGGAGTTACATTTTTTCGTACTGAATGTTACAAAACATTTAAAATCGCCGATGTTCATTTCGCAAAAGCCACTTCCGAAATTTAGCATTTCGCAAGTTGACATACGAAACAAAACTATTTTGCAACATACAAAAGTAGCGGTTTCGAAAGTCACACTTGCGAAACAAACATTTTTGCCAAACGTCGTTTTGAAGTCTTTAAAGAAAATTTGTTTGCCAGACTGATTTTAATTGTCAAAATTAACATCTTTAAATCCCAAAATGTTGTGAATTTTTATTTTCAGTAAAATAACTTATTAAATTTTTACGGTTTTATTTTTAGAAATATTGATAAAAAATAAAATTTCTTTTGAAACGAAAGTATTTCGGATCACAACATACAAAAGAATTCTTAACGGAAATAAACTTACGAAACGTGCCATAATAAAAATATACAACGATGTTTTTTGAACTCATTACGTATATTAAAAATAAGAATGATGGGTAGGAATATACATGTTTTTTTTTTAAATCATATGAAATTTTTGAAACAGGTTCGAATATGCTTAAGCAAATAGTAAAAAGAGGTTCAAAAATATGCTTTAGCTTAAGCATATTTCTGATAAAATATACCTATTTCAATAATTTCTAAAAGTGTGCACGTTACTAAAGTTCTAGCAGATTTTAGAGGTATGTAGAGTCCTGTTTGAATACGCTTTTCGAAGTATAGATCTTAGAAAATATTGTTTTTTAATTTTAATAAGATATAAATTTAAGTATAAGATTGTATAGTTCAATCAGTTAGATACGTGACAATTCGCCGCAGAGATCCGGGTTCGCATCCCGCAGCCATTGTAACTTTTGTTCATCAAACTCTTTTTACTTAAGATAGCATTTTTTGACCTCCATGTTCTATATTACAGATCTTTCGTCGCCTTCACAATAGTGACAACCTCTCTTCTGTTAGTTATTCTTTTAAGATTGAGTTCATTGTGCTTAATTCAACAAGTTTCCCTTGCTTTACTAAGTTCTACTTAAATTATGATAAAATGTACGTAAAACAACTTTTTCAAATAATATAAATCATTTTGCTTTAAATCTTTTGCTTTTTGTACTAGACATCTGTCCTAAATACTTTGTAATAATTTCTAGCTAACTCTGAGTCTAATATAACCATTTCTGAATATAATTTCCCTGAGGCTCCTACAGCCTATTGTGTTCCATTAAAAGTAACTAGTTTTTGAGTCCAGATATTAATTATAAGCATCTAAAGGGTTCACATTACTATTCATTTTCCTGATATATAGAATCCTATTTGCATACGTATTTCTTCTGTAAATTCTGCTTTATATAGTTTCTTTATTATATATTAAATAAATATTACTATTCACTTAGTTGAATGAACGTATAGCTCATTCAGTTAAGACATTTGGCCGCGTAGACCCAGGTTCACATCCCGCTGTTTCACATATATTTCTTCTCTTTTTACTCTTTCTGATATCATTTACCTTTAGAGAGATCTCTCGTTTTTTATAATAAAGTATTTAATTGTTTATCACACTTCCTCTTTATACTTTTTAAAAAGAAATGCATACTGTTTATCTGTTCATTGAGAATCCAACTTAACAGGATTTTACTGTATATATATGTGTGTCTATATATATAT